ATCTTTGTCTGTAACTATACTGTTACCAGACAACTGGAAACTGATTGATGTTACCAGTGGGAAATATTTTTTGTGTTCTGATGGAAATGCAGATAGATAATTATACCATTTGATGGATTTCTAGGCCATTTGAAATAAATAATGGGCAAAAAGCTGTATTACTTATGTCGTCTGTATTGTCAAGATAGAGGCTGGGGGGTGAGAAAGTCAGGACTGTGCTTAGGGGTGAGTGGATGGTAAATTAAAAGAACTCTCTGCAGGGTAGGTTAGACTGGTAAGCACCTGCAGATGACGTCCCTTAGTGCTTTGATGATGTAAAACCACTGTTTTCTCTGATGTCTGGGCTGCTCTGATGAGGTTTCCTTGAGACCTGAAGTACTGAGTCATGCTGCACATAAAATGTTCCATCATTCAACTTGTTTAAGATAGGAGAGCTTTGAAACAGGCTGCGGCACATGGAACCTAAGCACAGCTTTACATCAACTCACCCTACTGAGTGTGAGCCTGCCTTCACTTTGAATACGTGGCCAGAGTCTTGCTGAAATCATGCAATAGAAAATTACATAATTAGGAAATTAATCTCCAAATTGAAAAACTCTCTAAAGAAACTGCCACAAACCTCCCAATGCCTGAAGGATCAGTTTACTTCCAATGAGAGTTAAGCAGACCCATTACAATCATCCTTGGAAAATTTCCCCCTTAAGACTTTGCTGGCTGAAGGAACAGTGGTCTGTGTGTTGTATCACCCTGTCAGCAGAGATGTCCCAAGAGCTCTTTTCCCAATTGCCTGTGCCTGAGCAGAAGCTGCTGGGCTCAGTGCTGTGCCTCCCACCCTGTTACTGCATCACTGCCATCGGCCCCCTGAGGCCCCACTGCCTCCCTGCTCCTCCATTAGGCTGCCAAGGAGCTCCTGGGTGGAGACAGATACAAAGCAATGAAAATAGGTCTCAGGTGGTGGCACCTGCATCAGCTGTAGCACAGTGACCACCGGCTCATGGGCTCGGACACGCCTGTCTCAAATGGGTCTTTGCTTCAGCCTCTCATTCCTCCCAGTGCCTGCTGAAGTCCTGCTGCTCCCTCTCCTCCGTTTGCAGTCTATGGCCAGGGATTAGGTGTTTTTAAAAGCCTACGAACTAATAAACCTCCCAGACCTGCTACTTTCATTTCATGGTTGCGATGCAGTCATTTATTTTCCACTGAAATTCTTTTACTTCACAATAAAGGAGCAGGACTGCACAGATCAGAGCCCTCATCCCCAAACAGTGTCAGATCTTTCACTCCAAAATGGGTTCTATTGTGACATTGAAATATACACATGCATAAAAAAGAATAAATGAATCCTAGTGTAATGAGTGAGTGAAGCACAAAATCAGCAAAAAGACAATACAGGCTTTTGATTTGCATCAATGGGAAGCACAGAAAAAGTTGTATGTAGTAGGCAGATCATAACTCATGCCGGAGTAAATAACTCAGATATTGTTCTGACCTTGTGTGGAGTTCTGCTGCTTCAGTAAAAAATCTTACTGCTGTTGACCATTTGTTTCAAAGGGAAATATGATGCGTAGAAGGACATTTTTAGGAGTAGAGGATAAAATCATAAAATAGTCTTCTGCATTCTTAATGTTGCAGACAGCATTATTTAAAGACCTGAGATAAAATCCCTGTTACCTCCATTCTGCAGTAGATGGAGAGTTATTTTTACCAGAGTATTTGGTCACAAGCATGGATCCTCTTATGTTGGGTACTGTAGGGAAAATGAGCATGTCCTCATCCTCAGAGGGCCAGTGCATGTGCCAAGGACAGACACACAGGGAATCACAGAACAAGTGACAGTTCTGCTCAGCTGAACAGAAATGTGCATGGCACCTTCAAAACCTTCAACATATTGGAGAAAACCCTTTTAGATATTCTCTCCCAAATGAATTTAATGTTTTGGGATAGGATGGTCTCCTGACAATCCTGGGCCCAACAGAGATTTGGGATCACCCAAAGATCTCACAAGTACACTCAGGTCCTAGGACTCCTTCATTGATTTGCCACTGAGGATCATTAACCACCCAGCCTGGCACCCACCCTGCTTTGGGAAGCGGGGATGTCGCCAAGGGCCACAGGCCCTTGCAGGTGATCAGCCCTTTCACCAGACAAACTCCCAAAAGGGAGCATGCTGGCATGTTGGCATGAGCTGAAAAACAGCTAAACCTGTCCTTCATTCACTGCCCTCCTCTGCTGCCTCCTGTCCTGATCCACGGGTGTGCTCAGCTGCAGCACAGATGTTCTCCCCTCAGCCTCCTCCTCCTATGTTTATATCTCTAAACTTCTTCATGGCAGAAGGGGCTATTTTGACCATCTCAACCATTTGAGAAGGAGGGGGGTTGCTCTTGTATTTGCCCTCTTCAGTCTCTGGTCTGTACAACAGGGGAATTAACTGGTGTTTCTCCCCTGAATATGCTTTTAAGAACCCCTCAGCTGTGTGGGATTATTGCTTTCTACATGCACATGTGCTCCAGTAGAGATGCAAATATGCATCGAATTAGAGGGGATGTGAGTGAACCTCTTGAGGAGAGCCAGCTTGGTCCCACCAGCTCGCAGTGCTGGAGCTGCACCTTCCCTGGAGCTCCAAAAATTAAGATGTTCAATGGAGACCAAAAGAGAGCAACTCAAAGGCTTACTGTGCAGGGTCATCACCTCTTTCCCTTCTACTCCCTTTGGACAGCACACCCTGCTTGGAAATAATTTGAGAAGGTGGTAGCACATGTTCAACAACTTTCCTCTTTTATCATTCAGTTACCCAACAGAAGTTTGTGAAGCTGTTAATCTGTGGGAGAATGAATGATGCCACTGAAATCTGTCATCAACTGTCATCAAATCTGTCCATGGCTCAGGACAACACAGCAGGGCATAAAGCAATACAAGAGGATCCTGGAATGTGTTGATGATAACTTCCTTCTCCAAATAGAGGAGCCAGTGAGGAGAGGCATTATGCTGGACCTTGTTCTCACCAACAAGGAGGGGCTGGTGGGGAGTGTGAAGCTCAAGGGCAGCCCTGGCTGCAGTGACCATGAAATGGTGGAGTTCAATATCCTTGGGGCATCAAGGAGGGCTCACAACAAACTTTCTGCCCTGGATTTCAAGAGAGCAGACTCTGGTCTCTTCAGGGATCTGCTTGGCAGAGTAGCATGGGATAAACCTCTGGAGGGAAGAGGGGCCCAAGACAGCTGGTTAAAATTCAAGGGCCACCTCCTCCAAGCTCAGGACAATGCATCCTGACAAAGAAGTCAGGTAAGAATGCCAGGAGGCCTGCATGGATGAACAAGGAGCTTCTGGACAAAATTAAACACAGAAAAAGAAGCCTACAGAGGGTGGAAGCAAGGACAAATGCCTGGGGAGAATACAGAGAAACTGTCCGAGCACCCAGGGATCAGGTTAGGGAGGCTAAAGCCCTGATAGAATTAAATCTGGCCAGGGGTGTCAAGGATAACAAGAAAAGCTTTTACAGGTATGTCAGTGATAAAAGGAAGACTAGGGAAAATATGGGCCCTCTCTGGAAGGTAATGGGAGACCTGTTTAGCCAGGATATAGGGAAGACTGAGGTACTCATTGACTTTTTGCTTCAGCCTTCACTAGCAAGTGTTCCAGCCACACTGCCCAAAATGCAGAAGACAAAGTCAAGGACTGGGAGAATGTAGGACCATACACTGCAGGATAAGATCAGGTTCAAGACCATCTAAGGCACCTGAAGGTGCACAAGTCCATGGGATCTGATGAGATGTATCAACAAGTCCTGAGGGAACTGATGGATGAAGTGGTTGAGACAATGTCCATCATACTGGAGAAGTTGTGGAAGTCTGGTGAAGTTCTCGCTGACTGGAGAAGGGGAATCATAACCTCCATTTGTAAAAGGGGAAAAAAGAAAGACCCAGGGAACTACAGGCCAGTCAGTCTCACCTCTGTGCCCAGCAATATCATGGAGTGGATCGTCCTGGAAATTGTGCTATGGTACATGGAAATTAAGGAGGTCTTTGGTGACAGCCAGCATGGCTTCACTAAGACCAAATCATTCCTGACAAATTTGGTGGCCTTCTGCCATGGGGTTACAGCATTGGTAAAGAAGGAAAGAACAACTGATGTCATCTACCTGGATTTGCACAAAGCATTTGACAGTGTCCTGCATGACATCCTTGTCTCTAAATTGGAGAGACATGGATTTGATGGATGGATCACTCAGTGAATAAGGAATTGGCTGGATGTTTGCACTCAGAAGAGTTGTGGTCAATGTCTTGATGTCCAAGCGGAGAGCAGTGATGAGTGGCATTCCTCAGGGGTCACTATTGGGACCAGCGCTGTTTAACATCTTTGTCAGTGACATGGACAGTGAGATTGAGTGCAACCTCAGTGAGTTTGTCAATGACATCAAGCTGTGTGGTGCAGCTGACACACTGGAGGGCAGGGATGTGACATCCAGAGGGACCTGGACAGGCTGGAGAAGTGGGGCCGTGCAAACTCGTGAAGTTCAACAAGGGCAAGTGCAAGGTCCTGCACATGGGTTGAGGCAATCCCAAGCACAAATACAGGCTGGGCAATGAGTGGATTGAGAGCAGCAGGGAGAAGGACTTGGGAGTATTAGTGGATGGAAAACTGACCATGAGCCAGCAATGTGCACTCACAGCCCAGAAAGCCAACTCTGTCCTGGGCTGCATCAAGGGAAGCGTGGCCAGCAGGTCAAGGTGATCCTCCCCCTGTACTCTGTTCTTGTGAGACTCCACCTGCTGTGCTGTGTCCAGCTCTGGGGCCTCCAGTGTATGAAAGACATGGACCTGTTTGAGCAGGTCCAGAGGAGGGCTGCGAGGATGATCATGGGGCTGGAGCACATGAGGACAGGCTGAGAGAGTTGGGGTTGTTCAGCCTGGAGAAGAGAAGACTCCAGGGAGACCTTATAGTGGCCTTCCAGTACTTAAGGGAATGGGGAGGGACTCTTTATCAGAGATTCTAGTTATAGGACAAGGAGTGATGGTTTTGAATTGAAAGAGGATAGATTTAGATTAAATATAAGAAAGAAATTCTTCACTGTGAGGGTGGTGAGATGCTGGGACAGGTTGCCCAGTGAGTTGTGGCTGCCCCCTCCCTGGCAGTGTTCAAGGCCAGGTTGGACGGGGCTTTGAGCAACCTGGGCTAGTGGAAGGTGTCCCTGCCCATAGCAGGGAGTTTGAACTACATGATTTTTAAAGGTTCCTTCCAACACAAACCGTTCTATGATTCTATGATCTCATCATAAAGCTGTGGTCCTCAATGTACTTCCTGAGCCAGCCAGTTTTACTGACTTGGTTCATCAGTGAAAAATTTTACATTTTCTTCATTATTTCTGAAAGGACAGTCATTATTAGGTCAGCTGGAAACCAGCCCTTTCCCAGCTCAGTTATGCTGACTTCCTACAGTGGAATGCACTTCAGGATGGATTTGAGGTTTGAGCAGATACCATTAACAGCAGATACCCCATTCACAAAGAATGAGACTCTCCCCCATATCCTGCTATGGGGTTTGTGCATCATAAAGTGCCCAAGCAACATAGGCTTGGTGATTGCCCCATTTCGATCCCATTGCTTAGAGAAGCACCCAAGGGGAGGTGCTGCATGAGGCACAAGCAAGTCTGCTGTGCTGGTGAGCAGGGCTGCCCAGAGGAGGTGGCATGAGACAGCAGGAGGTGATGGTAAGGGCTGACATGTGTCAAAGACAGTTTTGTCACTTATGCAAGGAGTTAAATCCCCATGCAGCCATCAGCTGTTGGCATCCAGGGAGCTATGGATAGGGTCTCTGCCCACATTTACTATTTTTAGCTCTTTTTGCAGCATGGATCACGGCGCCTCAGGAAGTCCCAGGTACCAGAGGTGAGGGGACAGGGGCGATCAAGGGAGCATAAGTCAGAGGGATGTGGTAGGGTGTTAAAATTCTGGGTGCAAGGGATGAGATGTGGAAAGAACAGCCACTGAGTAGAAAGTGACAGTATAATGACCCCACTGAAGCTCAGGAAGTCTCCAGGCCCTTCACAGTGACTGATTTTTAACCTAAACTCCTATTCCTGGTGCAGCATCGCACAGCGATGTAAGCTCCTTAGATGTAAGCTCTTTGGTGGAGTGAGGTCTGGTGCCCAGGTGCCTCCTGGGAAGTCTGGCCTCAGGCACCATGGTGGGATGGGCATGGGCAGCACAGCTGCCTGCACGTGGCCACAGGCAGTTTTAGGATTTGTTTTGTAAAAGAGCCAGTGTGTTGGTGTTAGTGTGTTGTGCTCCACAAGCACATGAAGGCAGCTGGAAGTGCAGGAGGTTCTGCCCACCCTGGAGAAGCGTGTGCCATGTGCTGGCAGAGACCTGCGCTCGAAGCCCAGCACTGAGCCTCCATCACCGCCAGGCACATCTGCACTGTTTACTGCTGCAAACAAACAAAGTCAAAGTTCTTTGTGCAAATGTGAAGATTGTACATGGTGAATCCAAAGCAAGCATAGACATTGTGTCTCAAACAAGAGCACAACAACAAAAAGGATTTTATAATGCCTATTCTTTTTTTTTTTTTTGTCTGAGATATTTCCCCATCACCTCCAGTTGAACTCACTCTCCGTTTGCAAGCTAGGGGATCTGGCTAATCAGCAATGTTTGCAAAGCTTTCTTAGCTCTCAACAAATGCCATTTCTTTGCTGTGTTTGTCAGTGTGGTGGAGTGATTATTGCTGAGATCTGAGATGCGATTGCCCGTTTTCTGGAGGAGGGGGGTGGGGGGTTGGGGAGATAATGTAATAATGAAATCCATTGTCACAAATAAATCCGTAGGAGCATTTAGATGTTTTTCCCCTTTTTCTGACCCACTTGGTCCTCACGTGTCTGGCTGTGTCGAGAGGGCTGTTGACACTGTGGGAAGGTAACACAAGGGCGGTGAACAGACCACGCTGCAGGTTTGGTGAGTGAGATGAATCTTGCCTATTCCCAGTAAAAGGAAATAGAAATAAAAATGTATTCTGTTTAGTGCCAGTGTGCATGAAATGCTTTCAGTGGTGAAACCAAATCCCGCCTGCCATCCTCCCACAGGATGACCTGGGCATCCCTGCACTAGCAGTCAGAGAATTTCTATGGAGCAGCTCCTAATTTCATAAATGAACTGCAGGGTGAGAGGAGAAAAGTATTTGGCCCCCCATCCTCATAGAGAGCCCAAGACAACCCAAGGTCCCCCAGGTTCGCAGTGCTGGTGCACTGTGGCTGCAATACCCATTCTGACTGCAGTGTGTGTACCTTCCTAATGCAGCACCAGATTTCTCTTTCCTTAAAGACAACAGATTTCTTTCTGTGATGAATCTCATCACTAATGTCCTTATTATTTCCAGATTGCTTTTATTTTAGGTACTTCTCCTATTTTGTCCTTACTTCCTCAGTGTGTCATACTACCTACTTCATGTTTACTCTGCTTTGTATTTTTAGCCTGGTTTCCTAAGGAAATGATGCATCGTTCTGCCTGTGGCTCCATCTATATCCTATTCCTCCCCCAACACCAAAAAAACCCCCAGAATTGGTCCACCCTAACTGTAATTGATGGAGAAGGAAAGATTTCCAAGATATTTCAGCAGACAGGGTCCCTGAGCTGATGGAGAAGAGTGTGGTGCCCTTTGTCTTCTCTCCCTGCTTCATTGTCAAAGTGCTGCTCAGCTGTGGCTTCAGGAGAAGGGAGGAGGACCTCATCTACCCCTTTCTCCAGCTGCCATAAATCACACAAGATCTGTGGTAAGGACCAGCTTTAGGTGCCTCCTGGTTACTTGAGGGCAGCTCAAGCGGCCTGGGGTTGTGGCATCTCAGCATCCCCATCCGACTGGCCTTGGAGATGCAGGCAGAAACCAAAAGACTTGTGTCCTTGTAGACAGCCCCTGGGCACAGAAAGAGGAAAGGAAAGGGAGAGTTTAGGAAGGCACGCTTGCAGGGCCGGAGCAGTGGCCCGCTCTTTTCCTGGGGGTGGCCGGTGGGTGGAGGAGCAGAAAGGAACAAACAAGGCTTCCAGATGAGTTCATCTCCTCTCAGATCGTGCTCATTGAAACACATCTGTGTTTCCAGGGCTATGCGCAGCAAAAAACGCCTTCGTCAGCTCTTGTTTTCAGTTTTGTGCGTTGGCTATTTGTATGGTTCCTTTTTTCCCCCCTTCAAATCAGATCCTCTGGTGTATAAGGGCTCAGTTCAGCCAGAGCTTCATCCAGAAAGCTGCTTCCAACACTTCCTAATCTCATAAACAAGAAAGAAATGACTTAATACTCGAGAACAGAAATGGTTTTGTTCAAGTGCAGAAGTGGCACTCTCAAAGAGACACCTTGCTTGTGAGGGTGTCTTCTGAGGGGCTGCAAACAGCTGACAGCAGAATGATGTTTTCTAATCCAGGTAAATTATATTTTATTGTGAAATAGCACACAGCAATAATTACTGTATTTGTGTAGTACCACAGGATGCACAGCCAGAATTTGGCAGGGAGCTGATTAAATCACCGAGGTTTAATTGAAGGGTTTGATTGCATTCCAGCTCCAGCCATCAGCATCTGCAGTGTTTGTGTTGTCGGCTGGTTTAAAGGCTGGCACATCCCTGTGGTCCAGCAGCCCAGGGTGATGTTGTCCACAGGTCATTGCCTGCCTGTCTGTAGCAATCTGCATCTTGCCAGCCTGAAGATGCCTGGGCTGAGGGACACCTCATTGCCTACATGTCACAGCTACAGGTTTCCTGGCAAGACTCATGATAGGAGATGATGATCTTGAGGGCATAGCAATAAGAGCCAAGTGCACGCATGAGGATCTCAGGTTTTGCTTACCCAACCCCGTAGTTTCCAACTTGTCAAGAAAAAGCTCCAAAATGTCCTGCACTAGAAAAGCTCAAAGTCCCAAGAACAAATACAGGAATGACATTTTATGCATTTAAGTTCATGCATTTTTACCTCCAGAGCTTTCAGCTGATCATATACATTTTTGAAATCTTTCAATAAGAATGCTAATGCTTTTCCAGGGATTGATGATGTGATGCTTCAAAACAAACAGCAGCAGCTCAATGTTGCCTTTGCTACACTGAAGCCATCAACTTCACTCAGGCTGGTCCCCAAATTCCTACATCAATTTATTTTCCCTGTGATTTCTCTGTGCCATCAGGGAAGTTTGGTGCCCTCAGTGGTAGCCCTCAGGGGAAGTTGTTTGTCCTGGAGGTGCTGCCCATGATAGCAACCAAGGAGAGAACTACTTCATCAAAGCAGGAGCTGCAGAGCAAAAAGCAGAAGCATTGCCTCACAGACATTCATTAACATCCAAAAAACAAATGTTGACTCAGTCGTGTTTGTGAGCTTTTCTTTTTACCCTCTCCAAACATCCCAGCTGTACAGCAGAGTATGTGTGAATAGCTGAGGAAAATTATCTCTAACCGCAGCTAGTCCCCTAGATAAGATGTATTCTAGTATTACTCAATGTTGGGAAGCTTGCATTGCCGTTCAGCAGAGGAACTGAAGAAACAGGGTGCACAGGGCAGAAATAGCTGTCCAGAGTGAACACAGTCTCACTCCCAACCCTCCCACCTGACTGCCCATGGTCTGTACTTTCAGGTGAAGCCATCTGGGATGAGAAACAGCCCTGGTCCCCAGACACTTAGAACCATGTTGATTGCATGAGCACGACAGCACATGTGACCGTGAGTGATCTTCAGAACATTACTTCAGCTATATGAAAAAAAAAAAAAAAAAAAAAAAAATAGAAAATTCTCCAGTGTCTCCTGCATTTGAGAGTTCCACATCATGCCCATTCACTGGGAGCAAATTCAACATATATGAAGCAGTTATAAATGATTTATCCCAGTCACCAGTGTTTTTACAGTGCCAGACAAATTTCTGTTGTGCTACCAATCTATTACCTAAGTCTAGAAATAACAGTTCATCTCATTAGAGATTCGAGATTTAAAGAATTCGTACCTGGGGAGTCTGACCTTCATACTCAACTAATTTTAAAATGCATATTAAAAAATACTCCACTCAGCACACTACTGGAGAAAGCTGCCCCAAAAGAGAAAGCTTTTCGACATCCACAGACCTTCCAGCATGCCCTGAGAGCTCTCCAGTCAGGCTGTACAATAAAGTCATAAAAAGCAGGGCTGAAACAGAACTTGAGAGTTTGGCTACTGCACTGCCTTGCCCACAGGCGCATCCTCTCCCAGGCTATCCCTGATAGGGGTTTGCCCAACCTGTCCAAAAAGCCTCTAAGGAACGAAAACCCTCATGGTAAAGACTTTGATATGCCTCTCACTGCTGTGTAAGGCTGTGATTCCTCCAGATTTCTCTTCTCTATACTGAATAAACTCAATGGTAGCATTTTTAGGGTGATCTTGAGGAACACTCATGCAGAGATGTAGCTGAGCCTGGGGATAAGGAAGCCTGGGGTAACATTTCCTACAAGCTCCTGTGGAAGGGAAAAAAAAAATTCTTCTGTAGAAGAGGAAAAAACCCCTTTTTAGGCCACTCAGAATAAATGTTGCATCCAGAAGCTTTTAATTTGTTAATTGCACGTGTATCTTCTGCACAACCAGGAAAAAACGTAATGGGAGCTTCAAAAAGCAAAAGAGGCAGTTGTTTGTTACATTTCCTAGGGGAACTCTGAAGCTAAGGTACAATCAAATCCAACAGGAATATTCTACCAGGAGACTAAAAAGTCCCTTGAAAACAATACTGAAATCATATAATCACAGAACCATAGAATGTTTTGGGTTGGAAGGGAGCTTTAAAGATCATCCAGTTCCACCCCCCTGCCATGGGCAGGGACACCTTCCACTAGCCCAGGTTGCTCAAAGCCCCGTCCAACCTGGCCTTGAACCCTGCCAGGGAGGGGGCAGCCACAAATGACATACTGAATATTCTCAGTGACAAAGTGTCCTCCTGATGGTCAACATGGTCATATACTCAGCATGGCAAGAATGAGAGGAAAAACAGTAAGCATACTCTTGTTAGAGGGAAAGTCTCTCCAACATGGATTTTACTATTAGCAATAGTAAGAGTTGTCTAGTGGGATACTTTTGAGGTAGGATTGAGGAGCTCAGATAAGAAGAAAATAAGGAAAGACTAACTGAAAGAAAGCAAAGCAGGTAACATTTTTTTTTCCTACAGTAGAAAGTATTATAGAGCTCCCAGACACATAGTGCATTAGCCTCATTCTTAATAAGAAGGGCTCCCCTGGAAAGAGATGGAGGGAAACTTCACTGAGGCTCTGTCTAAAAATGAAATGGACATTGTATAAAGAAGAAAATAGAGATGACTTGACTATGGATGGACAGACATGGGTCTCGGTTATGGTACTGGCCTGGCAGTAGCTCTGCTCACTGAGTCGGTGAACTTCCCTCTACTCCAGTGGGTGTTTTCCATGACTAAGGACAGTTGGCATTGACCCAGGCTGTTAAGCCCTTGGAATATGGCCCTGACAGCCCTATCCCAAGTGCACCTTATGTCTCACACATTTCTGTTCCCTGTACCCTGTCCCCAGGAGGGTAAGAACCCATTGCACTTACTGTGTGCCAGGGGACCCCTCCCAGCTCTGCTCCTCTGGCAGCCCAGGCGCTCCAGGCTTGGTCTGCCAAATGCACTGGCCTTGGGATGCTGTGCAGGACTTAGGATGCAGGACTTGGGATGCCGTGCTGATATGCATACTTGGAGAAGGGTGTGAGTCCCCAGCAGGATCAGAGGATGGGTTGGCTGCTGTCCTACAAGCCCTGGGAATGAAACAATGGCAGAGTCTGCCACAGCGCCTGCGTCAGCTTCTTCAGAGACACAGTTTGGGCCAGAAGTCTCCATCACAGCCTGAGAACCCTGCCTGGAGCAGATGAAACTGTGAGCAGACTGTTTGTGTATCGGCACCCTCCTTCCCACACAGACATATGCTGGAGGAGAAAAACAAGCTGCCTCTCTCCCAGTCCTCGTACAGCCTCTGGCTCTCTTGCCATTGAACTGTTATATTAATGCCAAGATCTTAAAGGCAATCTCTGTTGTCCCTCCACAGGATGGCTTTACTCCAGGTGCAGAAGAGATCACGTTTTGCAAAGGGGCATTGGGTGGGTGCTACCAAGCTGAGGAATGGGGGCAGTGGAAAAAGCAAGAGGTGTGGAAGGTGAGTTATACAGACAGAAGGAGCTTCTAGGAGAGAAAACATGCAGAAAAGAGGGAAAAGCTCAAAGAAAGCTCACTGCAGGTAATAGAGTTCTGTAGGGGCAACTCCTCTGCAAAGGGAGAGTGAGGGCATCTCCTCCATGGGGTCATCACATCCTCACCCACTTCTTCAGGGATTCACACTCCCATGTCTTGGCAGGAGGAAAATACTTTAATTGATTGAATATTTTTCTGTCTTGTGTAACAGCTGGATATGCTACATGTTCGGTAACGGGATTTTCACTGTCCTATAGTTCCTTCCAGGCAAGACTTCTGTCTCCCAAAAGAAATAACAACAGTATGAAAATCTGCCTAACAAGTTGTGTTTGTTCATTACTTCATCCCTACCATCTACCACGATAAAACTGGTGTGGAGTGTGAACATAAGGCAGGGGGAAGGCTTGGAAGGAGTGCAGAGGTAAAAAGAAATGGGCTCATTGTTGCGCATTCCCTAGGTCAGCAGGAGTCTTGTGTTTGACAGACCTTTCCCACATGTAACAGACTGTGGCTTTGCCCAGTGCTAGATTGTCTTTGGGAACTTACACAGCTGCTATGCCAAGTTGAGAATGTTCTTTAATTCCTAGAAGCAGCATTATCCCTGGAGAAGAGCAAGAAATGAAGCACAGTGGAGCTAAATGGCACTGGAAGGGACTGAATTTAGCTCTCACAAATCCAGAGTTAGCATTTTCCCCGTCAAACTATCCTTCCTCTCTTGGATTTCTTGCAGAGGTGCTTTGAATACGCTCCAAGTTCTCGCCCAGCCCCACGACTGGAGAAAACCCTGGAGAAATGGTAACTGAGCAGCTCTTCCAGCCAGCCTGACCTCAGACCTTCTTCAGGCCAGCTCATCTGCTTCTGGAGGGGCTGCCAGCTGGCAAGCGCCAGGCTCCCTCACACGAGCTGGCACAACCCAAGGGGTGAATCAGCCCGCTGAGGAGCTCACAGCAAGGATAAACAGCTCTGGGGCTGGAGAAAATAAAATAGTTGGAAATTAATGGGAAAGGAATTGCAGGAGAAAAGTCTTGCAACTCTACTGTACGTCTAAGCCTCAGACATGTATTGCAGTGATCGTTGCAAACACTCTGGTTCATAATAATGTTATTGTGGATGATAAAAGACAGATAAAATACAAGAGGATACAGAAGAAAATATCTAACTTGTCTGAAAATGGTATTCTAACAGAGTATTTTAACTGTTAGAGGAGGATGGGCCAAAGACCAAGTCCTTCCCCACCACTATTTTATATCTGAGTAGCTCTCTGGGCAAGAAAAAATAATGTAAGACCACTGAAACAAAAGAGTTCCTTGTTCTCGGGCAATTGGATGTCAGGGGCTTGAATCAAATCAATTTTTAGCTTTCAGTGGTTTTTGTTGTCTTTCCCCCTGGGAATAGTGAGGTTAAGGAAAGTGTCCTGGACTTGTATGGGATAAACATTTATTTGTATATGACTAAGAGGAAAAAAAAAAAAAAAAAAAAAAAAAAAAACAAATGAATGGGAAAAAAGAAAGCATGGTGGGGAGAAGAGAGTTGCTCTTAGTTGCCAGTTGCTCCTGCCATCTGATCTCATTTCCAAAGTGCTGTACATTTGTCACAGCCACCAGCATCAGCAGACATTGGGTTACCAGACCTGTGCAGTTTCACCAACCAAATGTGGGGAGCTAAAGAGCCAGGGCAGTATCAACAGCTGCAGCTCAGCCCGGACACCATTCTCCAGTGTGTGCTGCTGCTGCTGCTCTTACTGCTAAACTGCTCCCCTTCTGTAGCCCACTGTCCGGATGGTGGGGGAGAACACTGAATGACAGCCTGATCTAGTGGAAGGTGTTCCTGCCCATGTAAGGGGTTGGAATTAGATGATCTTTAAAGTCTCTTCCAACCTAAGCCATTCTATGATTCTATGATTTTTCATTCAATCCACCAAGCCCAGCCCCAGTCAGGCTTGTACTGGGTGCTGTGCACAGGATACCCAAAATGGGGACAGCTCAGCACAGCCACAGAAATCCCTGAAGAAGCCTCTGCGGCTGGTTTTATGCTCCTCAGAGAGCGCATGTAAAGCAAATACATGAAAAATAAGCCCCATTGCCCCCACTTCCAAATTACATCAGCAGCTATGCTTCCTCTTTTCTCCACAATTTTATACAGCTTCCCCCAAGAAGACCAAACAAAACCACCAGCAGACCAAAATTAAAGGGAAGCCCAAAAGGAAACACAAAGAGCTGACAGTTGGTTGTCTCCCGTCAGAGACACTCCTTACACTACCATAGCAGATATAGGCCTTGTGACACCTCACAAGACCTTGATGAGAGCACTGGCTTGCTGGAGGGATGGACAGGACTGCTCCCATCACCCTCCACCTCTGCAGAGGTGGGAAACTGGTGCCTGGATGAAGATCTCTTGTAGGCGGGAATGTGAGGCACATAGGTGGGGGCAGAGTGGGGTTCATTCCCCATCCTGGGGCTCTGACACCAGCAACCTATTTTTTGCAATGCTTCCACTATCTCTGATGGCTTTTCTTGACATCTGTGAGGCTTCAGACTTGTCAAGTGTTAAGTAAGGTATTTTCTAACCTGAGAAGCTTCAAGAAATTGATGGGAGCTTTTTTCCTCCTCTTACGTGCAGCAAGCTCAGCATTTCGCTCTGTGACAGTACAGATGAGTTGAGTGACAAGAGAGACACAGCTTTCACTTGGAGAATTGCACCACTGATTCATCTGTGCTTTTCAAATGTATAAGTACATCTGTTCCAGTGTCCAGCAAACCCATTGGAGAATCAGGTATAAGGGAGGGAAAGGGAGAAAAGGGGCTGAATTTACAATCTCAGAAACAGATTTGTATGGGCCATGCAGTGGCATCCTAACATAATGTGTTTCTACATCCTCCCCCTTGCTATAATTAATTTTTAATCATTCGTGCAAGTTCCCACATATCCTGTAAATCTCTTTTCACAAATTTTGCTTTTAATGAAACCCTTGCTCGCTTTCAAAAGAAAGTTGGTTTAGGGTGTGTCAGAGTTTGTTCATAATGCGTTTTGTTCACAGTAAACAGCATTTCCTTTCATTCCCATCCAGGGTTGGTATTCAGACATCTGCACTCCACAGAAAATAGTGACTCTGGATTTACTGCTGAGTTGCAATGAAGTCACTGACTAAGTTTGCTTTTATCCCAGTGGTGCAGGTTTTAGCCCTTTAAATGCATTAACTCCTTCTTGTTCTGAATTTTATCCTCCCTCCAGTCTCCTTAATTCATATAAACTGAGAACTGCATTCAATAAAAGATTTTATTTAAATAGCTCTACTGCAAAATCACTCTGCCCTGCTGTGTCAGCACCATCACCTTTTTACCTCTTTCTGGATGGCATCTGCTGTAAGGTAACAAGGGGAATGCTCACTCCCCTGTCCTCCAACGTGGCTGTGCCCTGCGCTGGTCCTGCATCCTGGAGACTCATCACCTGCCTCAAATCAATCCATCTATCCCCATCTCAGCTTTGCGGCAGAAACCCACAAAAAATATTTTTCTTGTTGTTACTTCTTGGCGCAGGCTTTTGTGTTTATTTCAGGCCAGGATAGTGGAGTGAAGCACTGCAAAATCTGAGTCTCAAATTCTTCTTTCCAGAAATTAACCACATCAAAAGCTCTGGAGGCAGAGACAGTCTCTTAGTTGATACTTTTCTTGTACAATAGCAAAAGATTTAATTAGTATTAAAGGCAAACTTGAACTTTGTTGCAAAGCTAAAACAGAACTGCCTGGTTCCATACTTTGCTGGAGCTTTGGCCTTGTTTTTATTGTAATTTAGAAAAAATATAAACCCACATCTCCCAGCCATGATCACATTTCATGGCTGTAGATCATGCCTGTGAAATATTAACTTCTCCCTGTCCTCCCTTCTGTGCCTGTTTCATACCCACTTCTGCTGGTATCTTGGACTTCTCTTTGAAAACCTTGCTGGGGGGCTTCAATTGCCTGAATAAGGTTTTTTAGTGGCACTTCCACAGCTTAGGGAGACCGCAGTGGCTGCGACTCTTCCCTGCTTAGGTAGTTAAATTGGTGCAAAGTTGACTCTCAGCAACCTGAGCCTGATGGGATTCAGCAAAGGGATGTGGAGAATGATGTCGATGTTAGTCACGTACCCAGTGCTTCTCTTCTGCAAATCTCAACGTGTTCCGCGAAGGCAGATAAGCTTGGTTATCTCCAGCATGCAGAGAGAGGAAATTAAGAGAGAGAGGCCAAAGGTCATATTTTCCCAAGGGCTTCAGACACCCAAGTGGTTTTACCTCTGGTGAGGTAATTTAAGACCCACTGTGAACATGTGATGAAGTCCCTACAAGAAGTATGAGCCTGTTTCAGGAGAAGCACATCTACCCCCACCTGAAGAAGAACTCAGCAAGTCCCTCTCATTGTAACTGCCACGCTGGTGAGAGCTGCCTGGGGATGATTCACTCCAGATTTATGTACAAGACTTTTTCTCTCTGTTCCTGTCCAGGCTGCTCAATGTCAGGGGATGTTCCTGGGTGCTGAGCTGCCTTGGCTGTGCCCTGGCCAGCTGACAGCAACCCCCTCACCCCTGGAAGAGTGCTCACAGCAGACCCACCTCTGATGGTTGCATCTCTCCCTGGATTGCCCTGTGCGATAGATCTGGCCCCCATGGCAGCAGCCAAACTACCCCAGCATCTGAGAATGAAGGGTGGAGGATGTCTGGGACGGTATCTCACTGCAACTACAGAAATCTCTTCTGAAGGGGAATGCAAAATCTTACTTCTCTGTAGAGCTTTTCAAAATTTCACCCTGGAATGGTTTGCTGTGGGCTTCTTGACAATGTAACCTACCCAGATGAGGCTTCAGTGGTAGGGAGAGGGTTTCTCAGAGGGGCAGTAGCCATCTGGCTACAACCCAACAGCAAAGCCAAGAGTAAAACCTGCCACCTCCTTACCCCTGCTCTGAACCATATTATCGCTGAGTCATAGGACAA